GTAGTGTGTGAGTGAGTAGTGTGTGAGTGAGTAGTGTGTGAGTGAGTAGTGTGTGAGTGAGTAGTGTGTGAGTGTGCCCTGCAATGGGTTGGCGCCCCATCCTGGGTTAGTCCCCACCTTGCATCTGTACCATCCGGGACAGGCTCAGGACCCCCGAGACCCCGCATAGGACAAGCGGGGGTGGAAAATGGAAAATGGCATCGCCCAAAACGCAGCGGTTTGGTGCCGCAGAATCATTGCAGAACTGCCTGGTTTGCCCCAAATGTCTGAATTATTGGGGGAACGATCACACAGTCTGAAGATACAAGACAAATCGTGTCCCATAGTGGTTCAAAACAGGATGCAGCATTTTATTTATATTTTATTTATATGGCCGGCCACATCTTTATAATTATTTGATAAATCTGGGCAGCAGAATAATCTTGTTTTCCACAGAATTCAAACGTAATGTTATTGTTCTGCCAAGTTTCACTGCCAGCCCGACGATATTAGACAAAAATATATGTTATCGATCCGATTTTCTGATGCAAACGTGGAGATGCAAGCAAAAAAAATATTCATTAATGTTTTTAATGTAATTGAGGTACAAAAATAATTCCATCTGGTTAATCTTTGCTTCTCTACTCCTATCCCGTTTCCCTGCAAAGCTTCCAAGTTAGCGCCGTTGCTTGTGGTCAACCAATCAGCAAAGTTTATCACTATAAGCCCCGTCCACTAGTTCCCAGTCAGGTGAAAAGTACCTACTTAGAGTAGGGACTAAATAAATCTTCAGGAACTACCTCAGAGGAACTACAGTCGGACCAAGTTCCTTTGGTGGGAATGAGACAGAAGTTCCCTGTTCCTGAAAAACATTCCTGTGGTGGGAAAGCACCTCATCTCAGGGTACTTTAACGCAATCCCATCTCCCAGCTTCACCGCATCCCGACCCAGCTAAGCTAAAGATCAAGAGTCTGCAAGGAGGCCCAGCAGATTACTCAGTGAGTCATCTGTACAACGGCTGACCCAAGGAGAACATTTAACTCACTCATACATCCCATGTCAAGTCAAAGCAATTACTTCTCCTCTTATGATTCTGTGAAAAATTTGCAGTAGCCGTAAGAAGGATGAAACACAAGTAAGCGCAACACAGCCCATCTATCCAATGTCTGCCACATTCTATACAGCTACTGGAGCAAATTGCTGACTTCCGTAGGTTTTTGTACAACTCAGCCAAACTTCATTCTCCCTGGGTAATTTACAAACATGCACACATTTGTCAAAAGGGAAAAAACAATAATATGGAGCAGTTTCCTGCTGTGACATCATAGACCAAAACCCTGGTACTTCCTACAGCTGCAGTGACTTCCTGCCACTACAAATAGCCACAATACAATAGCTGCCCCCAAGTTCGGCTTCTAAGCCTACACCACGAACGTTGATATTCTTGTGCTCCTACAGAAAAACAAGCATTTTAAACAGCTACATGGAAACCAAGGCACAATTTTCCTGCTAGAACAGCTCCTCACTAACCTTAGCATGAAGCTAAGCTAACATCACCTCAGAAAGCAGTATCCATGCTAACATTTTCTTTTTTTTTACTTTTCAGGCCCATACAGAATATATACTGCATATAATACACTAGTAGTTCTGTTTCACCATTGAACTGACTATTCCTGATTTAACAAAAGTAATTTAGACTGTAACCAAGAGCAGCTGAAATCAGATTGAGAAATTTTAATATTGTCCAGCAAGTTTTACAAATAAAATATAATAATGTATGTAAGCTATTTAAAGCTCCAGTATTCATGTGATTGATGACTACAGATAAACAAATTCTAGAGTGGACATTTACTGCCCTTACACCGTAAATGAGTTTAAAATATTCCTTGGATGGAACCAGGTGTGATGAACCAGGTGTGAATTCCCCTTCAGTCTGGGAAAGGTCTCTGTAATAAAGCTCAAACATTCACAGTCATATGCCTTCAGGAATCATTCAGACTTTGCAGAAATATTTGCCATACCCACAGTTTCATTCAGGACTAGAGAACACATTCATCTTAATTGCACCAGGAGTGGACCTGACTCAGTCAGAGCCATAATATACAACTACACTGCAACACCAACACCAACAATGTAAATTCACTGGAGACAGAATGAGCACCTGATCCTTGCCAGAATTGACACCATGAGATATTTCAGGTTTTGCAAACTGCTCTAAAACTGAAAGGCTCCTGTACTTGGCTAATTAGTTAAATTCTTCATGTGCTTTTACTGGTTTGTTTCCTTGATTGAAAGACTCATCCAGCTGTTTCATATTAACATTAGTGACACATATATGATTATAGGAGACCGACCAATCAGCACATAGCAAGAACTCAGTGCTTTAGTGAAATCCAGGTATTTATAATTGAAATGGTTAAAATGGCAGTTTACAAACCCCTTCCTACCCCATAGTGTCCCTCCTAACATGGATTAGGTGGTCATTCTAGTTGTAGATATTCTTCTGAAAAGCCTATAATTACATTACCCAAAAGTTCATTACCCAAAATCCAGCACACAACACCTATGAACAGGTCTGTAGATGACAGCAATAACAACTGTATGGAATTACTTATTATTATTATTATTAAGTCTCATAAGTCTGATATAACTAAATTAGCACCGAAAGGTCGAATAACAGGTACCCGGACTTGAGATTAAAGTTACCTGTTAACCCTACAGTGGACGGTATGCCTGCCATCTCATACGGCATCTCAGCCGGCATGACAGCATGCTTTTCTGCTGTGTTTATTTTGTGTCAACTTGTCACACCCACAACAGCAAATAGCTTACAAAATTATAATATCATACAAGACATGTTTGCAGAGGTGTCCTTCAAGGCTATAGCTTCAAGTGCACGGTGGACAAAAAAGCATCTTGTCGGTAAATTCCAGTTATTTAGCCATAAATTGAGCACTTTCTTTCATCTATCAATAGGTGCCTGGTAACCTGCAGTGATCTTTGTACCCAAGTGTCTTGTCAACATCAAGCCGACATGTTAGACATACAACTCTTTCTTTTTGCAAATGAATCCCAGTTTTCTAGCAGATTTCTGGGATTTAACTTTTTTTATATACATTGATTTTGCCTACGTATAAAATTACAGCAGCGAGTAAAAAAAATCACCACCTTGAAGTTGAAAGGCACATGACGCCAGTCACTTCATGTATAAATGACATTTTTTCTGAAATCCACTCTGTGTAAAAGCACCCATGGCCGGGACAAACCAGGTTAGTGGCAGGTTAATATCAACATGTACAGAATTGCACTCCAAAGTAAAGGAAAATACATTTATATTGGATACTCCCATATTTGTATTACAGTGATCTGAAGCCAGTGATAATGGAAAACAAAGACACGCTGAGAACGTGAATAATGTACTGTATTAATACTTTTAAATGTAATTTCTCACGGATGAAAATTAAAACAATAAAGAAATGCGAGTGCCGGAAACTAAGGGGTGGAGGGGGGTATTGCAATAATACAACAGTGAAATTATATTTACAGAAAACAAACTTGTAAAGCGTTCTTACCCCAATCCAGAAACTCTAATACATTTTTCTCTCTCCTGAGCGGCGAGCTGCTGCATTCATCATAGAGGCAGATCAGGACATCCAGCAGCGTCTCCACGCTGAAGCACTGGCCGCTGGACTGAGCCGGCCCGTCCAAGATCAGCTTCTCTAGTTTCTTCAGACGAACCTCACCCGACATGATTCAGGCTGAGTATGATTGCACTTTTTTTAACCCAATAACAGGAAAAAAAAAAAAAAAGATCACGAAGTGTTTAGAGCGAAGCCGGGTATATAAACACTTCTATCTTACTCTCCTTTTAGATCCCTCGCCATGTCTGAGGACTAAACGAGGGAATCATGATTCTAATTACATAACTATTATTTTTGATCATACCTTCCTTCATTTTATTAACTCCCCATGGGATATTCCTCAGCCGCTGGATGAGGACCCACGACTGTAAAACCCTCCCTCTGCCGACTGTTTTGACGTAACTTACGCGCTGGCAGCAATGTTTCCTTTCGTATTTAAATCAGCCCCTTCCACAAATCCACAGGAAATTCATTCCTCGACAAAGAGAAGTCAGAGCATATCCATCGAGCTGATGATCGGCAAAAAAACGCATGAATGGCAAGTCTGCAGACGCTGCAAAGCACCAAGCGCCCCTCCTATGTGAGGTCCGCCACTGAGGTTAAACGAATCGTCAGCTAGTTTTTTAATGCCATTACCCCTACTATTTACCATCTATTCTTTAGGGTCTAAAATTTGGTATAAAAAGGTTTTCCTTCATGGCTGCGGCTGTGGTCAATCATGTGTTCCCAGTCCGGATCGTCCTTCGTCGTGCCGAAACGTAGCGATCTTCCTGCGCATATCTCTGCGTGTCCCTGCGTTATTCCCGAGCCTCCGGGTCTCCTGCCTCCTGAGCCACAGCTCGGCTGCTGCGGCCGAAATCCGAGACTAACATGGCGACCGTGACAAGCCGCTGCCTGCTGCTGCAGGGAATGCAGGGATACTGGAGGGAAGGAGGCATTGTGAATGGAAACTGCGGACGTCAGTGTGGAGCCTGATAGGCAAGCCGCTAGGAGGGCTGTAACGAACCTCCGCAGCCGTGTCATCATATATATGTGTGTATATATGTGTATATATATATATAACATCAGCATATATGAATGATATACATATATATACTGTATATATACACACACACACATACATATATATATATATATATATATATATATATATATATAGACAGACTGACACATATACGTGTGTGTGTAGGTCGATAGATAGATAAAAATCTTCAGGTATCAGAAGGAATCATTTATGTAATGTTAAGCATTATCAGTGCTGTGATGCATTAACGTGTTTTAATATAAACAGTCGTAATAGGCCTATATATCAAAGTTCTAAAATTTTTGCAGGACACAATATATGTCTGTACTAATAACTTGACATATGGACAGTTTTCTTATTTCTTATCTGTGTCAAAATTACAGTCACTGTTGTCTGTGCCAAGGTCAAGTTATATTTAGAATAATGTTAATATTAATTTGTTTGTAAAGGTTTATTTTGAAACTTTCAGGATATGTTGCATTAGTCAACTAATATACGCCTACTTTATGTTAGCTTATTGTATTTGGCTGAGTTGTCGTGATGCTGTTTTTAACAAAAATAAATTAAGGAAATTATTTTGAAATTTAAAATACATGTATAGCTTTATTTGTTTACTTTGTTGGTTTGTTGACTTTGCAGTAGAGGTTGCGGTTTGCAGTAGAAGTATGGTTTCATAATGAAACTAAAATATGCTCCAGAAGATCAACAAGTCCCATCTTGCTTAAAGTAGAGGAAAGCTGGAAATGATAGTATAATGCCTTATAAAACAGAAGGAATTCGACTTTAGCGGTGCTTAATTAAGGAATTAATTGAAAGATTTTTTTGTTTGTTCGTCGTTTCATTACACAACAGAGGACATCGATGATCACCGCCCCTTGTTAGTCTACACAGTTTAACCGCACTAGACTTGATGTTCAATATCTCACAGAAGCTGAAGCAAGGTCACTTCAAGGCAGAACTCTGGAAGTTCAAAATGAAATATCCATCCATTTTTCAATAATGTCTTATCCAATTAGGGGGAGGGTGATCTGAAATCTGCCTATGAATGCAAAGCCAGGCTTACATGACACGTTAGAAACAATGGCAATACACCAATTCAGATAGTAATGTATTAGTCTAAAGCGGGTTTAATTGATTAAATTGATGAGATTAAAACAAAAAACAAAAAAGCTCTGTTTGAAATCTTATTTTAAACATAAACAGGTATTAGAACTGTGTATATAGGCCTAAAGCATGAACCTTTTGTTTTATTGTGTATGAACTCTGGATACAGAGAGAGAGAAATCAAATCAACAAAGCAACAGCAAAGGACAACTCGAGTATGACCTCTCAGTACTACTCGTTTAATTTAATAATGGGACGTGATATTACTTGGGTTGAAATTAAAGTAAAATGTTGTCTCTACCCTGTATAAACATATGCTACAGTAAAAATGTACGTCATTAGGAAAAGTAAATTTAAAACGGATTATATTAGTTGTATGAGGTAGATGTATGAATGATGTTAAAACGTTTGTTTAATCTGTAGACGTGTCGATATAAAAAAAAACCAATAGATGTGGAAACACAAACGTTTTTCATATCCTTATACTGACATCTAGTGTCTGTAAGATGTCGTTTAGAACAGAAAACCCGTATGATTTGTTTCATTTTGTCCGCATCAGTATACGCAGTGAGAAGTTATTACAAACACAGACAATTAATTTATTGTGAAATATTTTAACGCATGCTGCACATCATGGCATATGTTGAACACTGGCTTCCACATATATGCATAGGCTAGTTGCATATAACCTGGATAGACGTATCCTACTTTTTACAATCGATGTAAAAATCGTGTAATTTTTCACATAATGTTGTAGCTGGGGCGTTATTGCTTAAAATAGACTTTTGGATAATTTCAGTTAATCCCAGTCCCTCCCTCTAAATATGAGATTTTAGCTAACAATTCACGCCTTTAAGTTTCGAATTAGTTTCAGATATCTTATCTTCAAAGAAGCAGTCATTTGCGGTTAGGTCGGCCTGCAGGAATATGTTTCACACCTACTCAACACACGTCTCCTAATTTTACGAAACTTTACATTTCGCCAACTGTATGCAAACGATGACGATCACTACAAAAACCCATGTTATAGTGCATGCATTTTCTTATAATTAATTAGAACATAAACGACTTTAAAATATAGGCCTACTTAGTAGTACATAGTGCGACATATCCATGCAGGCCAATCTATCATCGAGAAGAACTATAGCAAAGTGCATAATGATAATCATCATGATAATTAAATAAAACTGATTTTTTTTTAGCTCCCTGACTACACATTAAATTATTAGGCTTGGCAAAAACAACACATGACATTTTTGAATTTCACAGGAATCACCAAAAATTTCAAAATGTTCTTGAAATGCCTAAAAGCGAAGAATTTAAGCTACAATAGCACATTTTTCAGTACCACAATAACGTATCTGGGCTATACAATAGGACTACTGCAGGTCAGCATGAATTTCTGAAATGAAACGTACCAATTTTGGAGTAATTTTTGAAAAACAGGTTACTACTCCGTCGTGGCACCGAAGTTAATGTAGCAATATTAACAATTAACGAGTTAAACACCTCCACATAATACCATCTCTTAATGAGACATACAGTTAGTTTTGGAGACGATATTGAAGCTGGGGAATAACAGACTTGCAGCGCAGCAGCGCCCCCTATCAAATTATACCTTGTTTTGCAGAACATCTCGGTTTAAAATTACATGCGTTGTAATGAAAATGAAACAGATTAACAGCTCTTTTGTATAATAAGTGATGTTACAATCCTTTTAATTAAAAGGAATGGCACCTGGCTGAATTAAATACATCTATTTGCTTTCTAAAAGGCGTCTTTATGAGGAGGGGCGCTTCGACTCTAGTTATCGAACGATGTATTTATAAATCCTACAAAAAATAAAGACCTTCTGGCAGGGGCGTATAGGTAGAACCCCTCCCCGCCAAAATGTCACCTTGGACCGTCTAATAGGGTTGCACTTTTTTGAAGAAATACAGGACGCCACCCTCCGACAGTAAAATTTCCCATTTATTATATACAGTAGTTAAGAAGTCTTGGGACACCTACTTAATTCAGTAAAAATAATGCAGATGTAGAGGTTTTCTAACAAAAAGTCATTACGTTATTCATTTGTTTACAAAAATGTATATCACATTAGAAATAATCTGTAGTTTTAAGTTAAACATTCATTTTAAGTAGTAATAAATTGAAACCTAATTTATAGTTATAAAAGAACCGTTCTGAGTTAAAAACTTAATTGACAAGCAATCTCATTTGTTGCTTTTTAATTCAGTGACACATTTGGGTAACATAAAACACTAATGTTTGTGTTTAGTTTGGGACTACAAATAGGATATATACAAATTTACTTATGTCTTAAAATACAGAATATTTCAATTGGATGTTAATTTTGCTTACCCCTTTCTTCAGATAAAATATAATTTTAACAAAAATATTATATGTTCTCATATTATTTATTATAAAGTACAATCAATGTAAAACAATCTTATAACAGCCAGACAGCACCGAAAGAGAAAACAATAATTTAGATCATTACCTGTTCAGAATCTGTACCCATCCATCCATCTTTTGTACCCGCTTGTCCCATGCAGTTTAATCAATATATTTATATGCATGAGTCGTGCCTTTCAGTATCAAGACAGTAAAAATATTTGCATGACCATGACAGTCATTTTCGGTTAAACATGTATCAAAATTCTGACTTCGCCTATATGTCGTCAGCTCCCTGTATCCCGCAGCCCCTAATACACAGACTTCCAGTGACATCCAGCTCCTTTTCGATTGTCTGCTAGACAAAAAAGCCATAGCTAATCCCGTAACTGAAACATATAAGCACCATGTTGAAAAGATCGCCAATACACATAGCCTACTCACAATAGTCCTGGATTAACTGTCTATTTGTTAATAATTTTAATATGCAGAAGGCCTGAAGGGGTGGTCTCCCCGGAATACGCATTTCATAATCTTGGATTTTCACCGAGTCCCACATATCGGCAAATTGCTTTGAGGCAAATGGCGGTAAAAGCAGAACATTTTATACTGGGAGACTTTCTTCTAATTTCTGTAATTCCTAGTAGTGGATCATAAACTAATTCAAGGCTCAACTGCTGAGAACATTCAAGCTAAATATGGACACCCGGGGTACACGTGTAAAATATTAAGCCTATATTATCTCATTGGATAATAGGCCCATATAGGCCTAAGGAACAGACAACCTCCGACAAAATAAATAAACACTGAGATTGAAGATTGTGACCTAAATAGAGCTACACAAAAAAATCTTAATGGATATCACTTTTTGATACGTCTTCTAAGTATTTGATCGACATCATGCGGCTTCACCTTCGAGATTTAATGTACGTTTTATTTTTTTTAGTACGTTAAATCGATACGTACATCGTATAAAATGTAGAATATAAAATATGTACAAAACAAATAAAAATTAAAAATGACAGTTTATAAATTAACGTTATTAAATCCTACAATGGAATGTTTTTGTCAAGATGGTAAGTATGCCTGAAATATGTCAGTACTTGTACATCTCAGTCCGTATTGAATATAAATAGGATTAATGCGTAATGAATTGCAAGTTCTTCGTGCTAATGAATAATCTAATGTGAAACACTGAAGTTGTCAAAGGCCGTGCTTTATGTTTACCTTTCATCAGAAGGTGTTATAGCTTTCGTTAGGGAGGAGTTCGGCGCGATTTTGCCATTATGTCCCTAATGGGACAAGACTTTGATGAAGATGTCTTTCTTCTGAAGTCGGACTCCACCCACTCCTGCATGTGTGAAGTGTTTTTCTCGGAGTGTGACAGAGGAAAACCGCATATAAGGACAGTCTGATGTCAGTGACCAACTATTATCCAGCTGTTCTCCAGAGAAGAGTCATGGGTCCATTCAGCGCTTTCCTTCTTTGCTCTGCTCTGCTCGCTGCTGTCGAAGGCTTTACCCTGGAGAACATGAAAGAAGCCATGCTTCAGAAAGTAGGACTAAACGAGCTTCCCAGGATTCACAAGAGGGACTTGGAGAACCTGGTCATCCCACAGCACATCAAGAACAAATACGTCTCCCTGCTGAAACTGCAAAATAAGCGTCGGCGCAGATCCCTGCCCAGCTTGGCTGGCATCCTGCGAGGCATCCCGGGAAATGCAGGTGCGTTTGGCTCACTGGCATGTAAGATTAACGTGCCTCATTAATGTCAATCTATTTTGTTCGTGTAGAGTAATTAGTTTAATGGGTTGGGTGAAAGTCATGTGTGATAATTCTGCGTAAAATTATGCATAACCAAAAAGTACTAATGTATTAAATTAAGCAAATAATACTGTATATTTTCAAAACATGTTCAATGATTTAGTTGCATACATCAATCGAGCATTGGTTGTTTGCACTTTGTCTCAACGGAGGCTCAATATTTCCATTCCAGATGTTTCGGGAGAAGTGATGTACTCAGACACTCACCGGCAGCGACTGGTTTTTGACATGGAGACCAGAATTCCAGAACACAGTGAAGTGACCATGGCAGAACTAAAACTGTTCAAGACAGCACCGAAAAAGCACCCAAAACCCGAAAACAAGAACCGGCGTCCGGTCAACAATGCTAGAGTGAGCATATATTGGGTGAATGTACTGGAAGATGGATCAAACCACACATCTCTTGTAGATTCAAGGTATTAAAAAAAATACAAAACATGGATTTTCTTTTTTACTCTCTGCATATTTAAGTGCAATGACAATAGTTGAATATATGATTATATATAATTAGGCCTATTAATCATTTTACAGGTTGGTGCCGATTCATGAAACCGGCTGGAAAAGTTTTGACGTGACCCAGGCGGTTCATTTTTGGTCTAAAACCCAAAGAAACCGCCCAATGCATCTAGAGGTCTGGGTCGAAGCTGAGAGACCGGGCAGCTACGCCGCGGAACTGGCCAAATGTGTAAGGTTCGCCACCCAGAGCCCTAATGACATGGACGCCGGGAAGCCGGAGGTGGTGTTGTACACCCTCAACATAGAGGAATTTGGGTAAGCATTCCTAACGAGTTCTCAATGCGATTTCTGAATTACACGTGGAACAACACAATCGTTGAAAATACACCTAATTTATTTTCTTGATATATGTACATTATTTTTTTAACAGTTCCCGTGGCGATTGCTCGGCTGGAAAAAGCAATGTGTGCTGTAGGGAAGAGCACTTCGTCAACTTCAGAGAGCTAACGTGGACGCAGTACTGGATCATCGAGCCGGCGGGTTATCAGGCTTACCGCTGCGCAGGCGGATGCAAGAAGCCCAATCGCAACTACGGATACAGAGAGCGGACGTGCGCGGTGGTGGAGAGCGCTCCGCTGCCCATGATGTACCTCGTGAAGAAGGGTGACTACACGGAGATCGAGGTCGCCGAGTTCCCAAACATGATCGTAGAGAAGTGTGGCTGCACCATGGACGATATGTCGGTCGTATAATGCACGCAACGGCCAAATACTAAAGATAAAACCCGGAGTACTTCTATATAGTTCTGCAATGTTGCTGATGTTGTGTCGGAATGTGGTATCCAGTTTTTTGCACGATACTTCCTTGCTTACAAGCACTTAAATGTTAATAATCTAATTTAAAACTAAAGTCTTTATTTTTGCATTTGTGCCCAAAATCCGCATGACCTAAACATGACATACCAAGGTATTATTATATTCATTGTTTTATTTTGGTTCGTAAATATTGCGGATCGAAAACATAGACTATCATTGTGTGTTAATTCTTGAAATAAAGCATTGTGCATTGATATACCGTTTACGCTCTCGAGTATATTACTACAATTAAAAAGAAGTGTGATGACTTATAAAAGTTTATATTTAGGGTTATTTTCAGATACCTAACGTGGGCGCCTGCAGCTGGGGCCTGTACCATTAGGAGGGATTAACAAATCTTATATCATATTTCAGAGTCAGGCTAAGAAAAACCGAAAGCCCAAAAGTGCGTTTAATCCGGTTCCAGAACATCTGATTTTGATCACCTCTGTCAATCCGGATAGGTAGATTCAGATTCAAGTAGGCTGACAATGTGCAGACTGCCAGCTTGTTCAGCCGTCTGTACAGGGGACTCAGAGCTGTCCGCTGACACTACTGTCTCTGCAGTGCCAAGGCATAAGAGACCAGGCCTCTGCTTTTATCATGCATGTGGTGACAAAGCTAAAACGTTCTGAGTACTGCAGCCCAGGTACAAGTTCTTTACATTGGAGGTTGGTGACTGGGTCTCGGTGGACCATCTGAAGTCTGTGCATTTGGACGGGGACGCTTCAGCAGGAGGCTCCCCTGCGGCTGTGTGCAAGATGCTGGGCACCCGATACCCAGCCCCCCCCCCCCTGCACACCATGACCCATACTGGGCGGGCGATACAGCCTTCCAGAGTTGGACCTGTCTGTATTTGTAAATGGGGGGCATGTGTAGGAGCTACTACTGTTTAGACAGAATTCGAGTGTCTGTTTAGACACTCCCTTACGCATGTTCATGTGTGTAGGTTAGAACAGGTTGTGCATGCCCTGGCTGGTTTGGGGGTTTGGTCCTGGGTTTGCTGCTTTTCCTTTTCTGTCTCTCTCCGCCTCCACACTCAGCACGGTTCCAGTAAGCCAGCGACAGCCGACACTGCCACACATCCGCCGAGACTTCATACTACCGGGGAAAGAGCTAAATATACTGTAATAATCAATAAAACATGTCGGTATCAAGCGGAATATAGATAATTAACCTAATAAAACATGTCAGTGAAACAACATTCTTGACAAGTCAGATACACGTTTATAATTCATGAAACATATCGCTAGTGAGCCGAATATACATTAATAATCTAATATTATTTGACTAATATAACATGTCAGTTATACAACCAAGCTAACAGTGCAGCCACACATCCCAGTCAGAGGAAGAATCGGCCATATTGGCTTTAACCTTCATCCCTGGGGCATAGATGGAGATGAATGGATGGGGGAAGAGTTTTTAATGTGGGGGCGATAGCAAACTTATATATAATATAAAAAGCTATTAAGGACTTAAGCCAATAAATACACATTTACTTGGGGGGGGGCTAGTACCTCCCAAAAATAGGCCAAACTACGCCCCTGCTTTACCCTCTTTTATTTAAATATTTGCCTTGCCTTAGTTATCTGTTTTGTACAGCACTTTGGTTGACATCTGCTGTTTTTTTTTTAGAATGTGCTAAGATGGCTTGACTATATATAATACTGTAAAGAGTGCAAACATAGAGTGTGAATTTTTCAGTGGAGTATATTGGGGGTAAAGTACTATTGAGTTAAAGCTGTAACCATAGCAGGTAAAACACCCTCCCAAAAGCACGTGTGTGCTGGACGATGGTGAAGTGACAAAACCTCAAGCCACTGACAACTCAAAAATCACAGACCAACCTCTATCCTGGCCAGTAGTGTGCTCTCTCAACTTTTTCTGTAGTTACTATTTCGGCAGCTTAAGCCCGACAGAGCCCTCCAGTGGACATTTCAGATATCACAGGCCCAATTAGTTCTCTGTTGGGTTTTTCTTTGTTGTTCTGTGAATTTCAGCACAACAATGTGGTTTTGGAAATGAAAGTCAGTAGCATCAGGATGAGAGACTTCATAGATGACATTGGCTACCTATGGTGCAATTTTCTTATTAATATCTGTTTACATTGCAGAGAGTTATAGTCATGGTACTTTGAATCATGGCTGTGCAGAACTGAATCAGGAGATTCTGTCCCGTATGTATACAGTGGTCTGAAATAATACAACTTCTGCCAATTTCATTATTCCCCAAGTGATGTTTCAGGGAACCACTGAATCTGTGTTTCGGTCAACTGTGCATTATTACTACTAGAGGATAATCCCCTTAAATAGAGGAAAAGGCAAAAATTAATTGAACTATTATTTTATTCTTTCCATACCCTAACAAGCCCTCTGATGGACATTCACAGATTTCCTTTAAACCAGCACATGGAGCCTGAGTTCAGCACCATAAGTTGCTCTGCAACTACACCCACAGACATAATCCCCGACACCCACCCCACAGCATTGTGGTCAAGAGGATGGGAGCCTGCTGGATAGATTCCCACCCACAGTTGGGATTGTGTCCTTTCACAGAAGACAGAGCCCCCAGCTCATTTTCAAAATTAAGACTACGGGAGTGGATAATCATGAGAGCAGCGGAATAAATTAAAAACCATTGCAGAATGGCACAGAAAATACGGCATCAAGTGTCTCTTTGTATAAGAAAGGGAATAAAGTTACCACAGAACACAAAGGCTAAACCAAGGCGGTTTAGGAAGAGAGACAATAGCAGAGATGGTTATCTACTTCCCTGGCCACAGTGTGTCCCTGAGAGGTGCTGTCGTCAGCAAGCACGAGGGCCATTACTGCGACCTGCCGCTTCCCCACGCCGTGCTCTTCATATTGCATCGGTTGTGGGATTAGGCACAGGAGGTACATCTAACATGCTGCTGTACAGTGATGCTGAAATGAGCTCAGACCAGCCCCCGACACGAAAAGCACAAACAGGCTACCAGTGGCTGAAGTGAAGCACACCGGGCTTTTTCAGGTGAACACGAGCTCTGCAATTTCCAAAACATTTTAAATATAGGATTTACAGCACAGCCTTCCAGTCCTAATTTTAAATTCTCATACAGAAATAACTGAACTGGCGATATCAACATCTGCATTCAGGCATACATATACATATATATATATATATAAAAAAAGAATGATATGGAACAGAGAATAGACTTCAAAACATATCACAAGGGTGGGAGAATAAAAGAAAAGAAGCTTAAAAACAAACATTCAAAATGTCCCACATCCCCTCATTATGAAAAAAAAAAATCTAAAGATTTTCCCACCAAATCTACCTTCACAGTACAAGACCATTCATTCATTTTCAAACTGGGAAAGCTAAGCGACAGGGACCTGAAAAGGACATTGATCCCAGGGTTTAGTAAGGAATGACTGAGAAAAATGGAGAAGGATAAAAGGCATCTTAAGGTGTTCCATAACAGAAGGCAAAAAGATCTCGGATCAGCCACTGTCTTGTATACAGTGATCATCCTTTAGTAAAAATAAGCAAGCTCAGGTTCTCATACAATATCTAGGAGCAGAATTTCATTGGTTAGGCTGCTAACAATGGACATGAATTTTACTTAAGACCTGATGGTGTTCCACGAAGCAGGATTTCTCTGTTAGCTGGGTTAACTTAATCTAGTTCTAATGATTGCGCAATAAGGTGAGAAGCATTCCTATTGGACAATCATGACTTCTGTTTTAAATTAATCCAGCTAACTGGAAAATCTTGCTTGGTGGAACACCCCTAGGGGGGAAGAAAAGAAAAGAAAAGAATTTTATATATATATATGGTTTTTTTTAATTTATATATATATATATATATATATATATATATATATATATATATATATAAAAAAAATAAAAAAAAACCATTCCTCAGGGAACTACAGACAACAGAAATGACAGCTGGTGAACAAAAGCACACTAAATCCCATCTTCAGTAGCATACACAGCTTAACTAAAAGATAACTCAAAAATTAAAAGACGCCGTATGGGATGCCTCACTTATGTACGAGCCCTGAAGCCATCACAGTTGTGGTCATATCTGCAGCACCAGGCCTGCGGCAGAGATGTTGTCCCCACCCCCCGCGGTCTGGTACACCTCGGTGCACACCAGCACGGGGGCCACGCACACCTCATAGTCGTCCTCGTGCCAGCAGGACACTGGCCGCGTCTCCTGGAGCGGTATGCGCTGGCTGCCCTCCCTCCGGCTGACGGAGAAGGACTCGTCCAGGATGAGCTTGGCCTTGCTGAGGTTGATATCCGGCGAGCCGCACACGTGCCGGTTGGCGGTGAGCGAGGCCTTGGCTGTAGCCGACATGGTGTTCTTCCACTGGGAGCCGCGAGTCACGATGATGGCCTGGAAGGCCAGCGTGTGCACGTGTACCCGTGTGAGCGGCCGGCCGCTGCCGGAGTCCCGCCGCTGCCGATTCACCAGCCGGTAGAGCTCCCGCATCTGGTCGAGCACGGTGGCCACGCGTGGGTTGGGGTCTGACAGCAGGGTGACACTGCCGCCCCGCAGCAGGCTCAGCAGGTTGGGCAGCTCCTGCTCGTTCATGCCCAGCGAGTCGGCGCGTGGCAGCACCAGCCGCAGAAGCTCCGACAGCAGGCCCTCGTCCACGAAGCTGGCCATCTCGAAGTGCACGCCCATCCCCGGAGAGCTGGAGTCCAGCAGCTGCGCTAGGCGGTCCAGCAGGGCCTCGCGCTCACCTGCGAGGGGGGAAGAGAGCGTGGGGGTGCTCAGGTTAGAGAGGAAAGCTGCACCCTCCACACTCAGGCTGATACGTATCTGCACACGTCCACCATCCCAACATAAACCATGAGACACAATCCTGCCGCCACCCAGCCCAGTCGTAACATCAGCACTTCATCTTTGAAACAATAGCAACATACAACACCAATTTAAAACAAAGCATACACATTCACAGACATCAGATATATTAATCTAAGTTACTTCCTGCGCAATATTCAGTTTGCACCATATTCTGCCTGTATACAGTGCTTACTGTTTATACTGTCCGTACTGCACTATGGGTCTGTTTTTCACTGCTTGTGTATCTGAACTTTCTGTACCTCACTGCTATATGCAAACATACTTACCACTCGGGAATCAAAAAAATACATCTTAAAATAACATTAGTACATGAAACAATGTTTCAGGGCTTTTTTTAACACGTGCTCACGTCCGATTAGTACTGGTAAGGAAGCAAAAGGACACACACAGAAACCATCGACCAAAATGACAGGCGGCACAAGATTCTGACCTGGGCTGATGGGCGTATCCAAGAACAACTGGTTACAACACACAAAATATTTGGTAAAATATGGGAATTATTCTTATACGTACAATAAATAAAATAAAAATGGCATTGCTGCATACTAAATACATCTAAGAGGGTTTTGTGTCATCGCGCCCAAAATGACGCCACAAAATAAGGACAATCAATCATGAATTCCATTCTGCTTTGTGACAGCGCTTTCCTTCCTATGTTCTCTTCAGCACAAAAAAGTTGCATGGTGATGATGAAAGCATGCTCAGACCAGGATCCTAAAGCGCAATTAAAAGGAGGTTTTGCCGGTTATGGGTGCAAATTGATACAGGAAAAACTTGGGTCTTAATCAGCAGATAGAGCCATACGACTACAGGCGGACTTACATTTATACCAGTTCCACAAAAATATACTCTCCCACAGCCTCCAGTCATGAAGCCCTTCACAGATCACATGCTTATCTTCAAAACAACAGCTGGCCCACAGCTACTCTGTCTCCATCATGTCGCTGCTGGTGTTTATATTGTCATCACCTTTCCGAAAAGGGAAGTTGTCCATCATCTGCATGCCGCCAACCACCAGGAGGTCAGGGTGGAAATCCTTCAGCTTACGTTCAAAAGCTTCCATTGAAGCCAAATATGGGTTGTGGTCATCGCTGTGGACAATGAACCTGCACGAGAACACAATCCTGTCTTTGAGCATCTATTGCGCACAACACGTGGGAAATTATGAGGAGAATAGTAAAGAAGCCCCTCCCACACCCCACCTGTTAGCCCTTTTTGAGGTATACTGCCCCCAAGTGGCACCAGAGGGATACTCCAGGATGAGGTGGATGTCAGGTTCCTCTACCACATTGCCTACCACTAGAAAAAGGAGAAAAAAGGGAAGGATAGGAATGCAATCCAGCAGTGCAAACTTATACAATAAGAACATGATATTCAACATACATGTGTTAAAACTCTTGGACCTTCTGGTTTAATTCAGTGCCATTACGCCATTTGTACGTTAATCTGTGCACTATGTTCTTACTACTATTTGCATCAGAAATTCCCCCATGGGATCGATAAAGTCCATCCTAATCTTAAAACGCTGGCATACCAGTTATTTGCTGCGGAAGCACGTCAGTGAGCTCGGGGCTGAAGTCGGCTCCAAGCAACACCTCACAGCCCTCTAGCGCCATGCGACTGGCCATGACGGCCGCGTTGCCCCCCAGTGACCAGCGGTTTCCTGGTAACTCTCGGGACGCCTCCACCAGCTGACTGAAGAGGGTGTCGTTCATGACGAACCTCCTAAAGGACGGGAGTCACGCGAGGGAAATCGTGACCGAAACAGAGGAAATTATGCAAGAGGAAAAAAATCATTACAGAAGTATAACAGAAGTAGTCTCTGAAAACACTTTCTTTTGCTAAAACTTCTAATTAACACCTCATTTATCATTGCATAGCTGCAATTCTTTGTGTAAATATCTTTCCATTTTAATATTGACTTTACGACGTCCAGATTTTGCGATGACCCATCCTGCTGTAATGGTAAAAATTTAAATGGCTGCAGTTTTACAGACGAATATCAGTTTTCACCCGAGTCCTACAGAAAACACTGACGGAAATTTCTAGGTTTCTAGGTAGTTACTGGTGCTGTTTCGCTCCTCGGATCTGGCTCTTATCTTGGTCACCTGAATGCTATGATACCCCAAACATATCCAGCAAAGTCAGCTCAGCCCCTGGCCAGGTTTCAACACCCTGCACCCAATCTGCAGCGCTGAGGTACTGCGACAGCAAGCCGCGGGTCAAGTCATGCGAAGTCAGGCTGACTCACTCGGACGCAGCGCCTGGGGGGAAGAAGTAAGCAAAGCTCTGTGCCAGCTGCTCAGCGTTCTCGATGTAGTCGTGGTGGAGAGGCTGGCTGCTGGGCTCCAGGCCGACCTTGTTCAGGAGCGTCACGCCGTCCACGATGATGTCCACACAGCCCCCGAAACCTGAGAGACAAAAACATCAGACCCGAACTGCTCTGTGCTGCCAAAACATTACCGACCATATAGCCACAAACAGGAGGAAAGCAGGATCAGGGCGGTGTGCGACTCTGTGGGTTAAGCCTCTTGAGTTCGGATGGTCGCTGGTTCAAAACCAATGCCTAGTATAATGACGTTACCGTTGGGTCCTTGACCAACGACACTGCCTCACCCAGCTTTCTCGACTGTACACCACTTTGGACAAGGCGTCTGCTACATACATAATGTAAATGCCATAAAACTAAATGTTAAAAACGCACCACGAGAGCCCTGGAATAACATTAGCACTGTTTGCACTATTTTAAAGAAGCCTTCAGCTGTTTTCGGTTTGAGATTATTTCCATGACCCTGACCTGGACAGAGAGGTATACAAACATGTTTGCTCTAGGAGGCCTAGTAAGTATTACGAACCATTCCCAACATGCCTAAAAATGTAAATCAACACATAGTGGTAATAGCATTAATAGGTTTCCCTGCAGCATAGACAGAATTCACTTTTTTTGTTTTTTATTTATTTATTTATTTATTTATTTATTTATTTTTTTTGGGGGGGGGGGATTATCCTGAAGTTATCTGATCGAACCATTCAACAATTGAACCACAATTGAACCACAATAAAAAGTATTTATATAAAGTATTTTATAATAGAAAAAGAATACAAGAAAGATTAAATCATATCAACTGTACTGGTGATTTTTCGCAATCATTAAAGTTTATATATATTTCTGTACATTAACAGTGTTCCATTGATTTTAACTAAAACTAATTCACCAGCTGACACCAAATTTTAACGTGTCGTTTTTGTTTTAACTGAAGTTTCGTCATATTTTAGGAAACACACCGAAAAACTACATCTAAAAGTTTAAAAAGCGGCGATAGTCTCACCTATAGCGACTCTGGGTCTTGCGAAGTCACTGAGGCCCGCTTTGCGCTCGGCTCGGAGCAGCGAGGACAGCACGGTGTCCAGCCTCCCATCAAGCGTATCCCGAACGGGCGGGCGCAGCCAGTACGCCAGCAGGACCATCACGAAAGACAGTACGGTGCCGTATTTTATCACCACGGCACTGTTACCGAACTCCACCGCCATGGCCAACTTCGAGGAGCTGAAAATCACACCACCGTCAGAGGAGCATTCAGACGACGGAGGTACATCACCTTCCAGCAGACGGTTAACATAAAAGCGCGCAGCGCTCGGCAGCTTGGCGTCCGGCGAACTCGGCGAACTGGCAAACCAGGAAGTGACGCTGCAAGCGGAAATGACATTTCAACGGCCAGTATTCACCCTCTTTGCTGTGTACAAGGCTTTTAAAATACATCTTAAATGTAGAGTTAGAAGCATGCAGTAAAAGACATCCAGATTAAACTGCATTAATAAAATATTAACAGGGCTATCTTAATTTAAAAAGACGACAGCAAATAAGTAAATGCTTACGCAGGCTCAATCTTATGTTTGGCGGTAGAAATAGGGTGAATCTCAATATGCATACTTGACCGTATTTGTGTTCTCGTGTGCCCGTTTTACATCATCTTCCATTGCACACGAGGACGGTAAAAAAAAAAAAAATCCCCGGATATTGGTCTTGCCCTGCCCCAAATATCAGGGATACATAAGTTGCCTCCTCACGGAACATGACCAATCCCTTGATTCATTACACCCCAATTTCGTTCTTGGAAGGCAAGTTCACAAGACTGGTCTTGCCAAGACCACAAGTATGGTCTTTGAGTTCTTTGATGGTCGTTGTGTCATCCTTAGACAACTTCTGAGGGCAAAATGAAAAATGATTGGTTCAGAGAGATAACCAATCAGATTATACAGTATGTGGGTCCAAACAACTAGAGGAGGGGGGATCAAAACATGTGGTTGGTTGGTCCCGCCTCCTGAAGTTGCTTGGACACACCTCCTCCACAATCTGATTGGTTATCTCTCTGAACCATGTCTTCAGAATATTTTCGTGTAAGTAAAAATCCCATGAGCTAGAAATAGACTTCTTGATGCTTATGCATTTAAATAAATTGGATTCATTTACAAAAAAAAACTTTCAGATGTGGTTAAGATGTTTCATATTTGGTATTGGATTTGTAATTTCTCAATTACAATCGTAAGGGTCAAATTGAAATTTGTTGAAATAGTACTACAAACAACATATATATTTTTTTTAAATCATAGAATTGTTTTAGCTCCAAAATGTAAAAGCAATATGACCAAATGTTGGTGAGAATTGTAGGTGAATTTATGTTAAATAACCAAAAAATATTAGTTGTCATTTTGACTTTGGCAGAAATACCGGTAAAGATTATAATTAAAATGTTAGACGTATGCAGTTAGACGTATGCAGTTAAAATGGTTGAATGGATGTATATGTATTTTTAAAATGTAATTCACAAATATTATTAGAAATGCAGCACTTAGGTGGAAGTGATAGGGTTTTCCATAAAATGTCTCAGTTTCCCTCAAAAATTGATTTCCCTTTTACAGAATAATAATTCTCTAATGTGTTTTTGGTACAGTTCTTACTAGTCATGCAATAAAGATGCTTAAAATTCTTGCATAACAGTAACAGATTAGATTGATCTTATACGTTGGCAATGAAACAGACATTCCAATATTGCAAATAAAAGAGACATCATCTTGACTGTAATACAACCATTCCCTAATATTCAGTTATGTGGAGAAAAATCACAACTTCCAAAACAAAAGAGCTTGTTGATAGAAGATAGAAAGATTACTGATTGATAGACTAAGAAAGTGTATTACGTGAATTGTGACAGCAACTTGATGCTTATGTGTCAATGTCTGTAACAGTGGTGGATTAAACTGTCCGTCGGCCCTAGGCTGACATCAGTAGGGGCTGCTGCAGTAGCATGGATGAGCCCAGGCCAACCTAGATGGAACTCAGGCCCATTCAGCATTCACAGCAAGTGATACAGTATGATAAAATGATTGTGTCTGACAGGTATGTGTGCACATGGTTAGATCAAGCGAAGGAAATATGCTGCTGAGAGCCAAACAGATTTTTCTTTCTCTTTGTTCATTTGGTCTTAGTAATGCCACGGGTCAATTAAAAACTGAACGAAAATATGTAGTCTTCTATGTGATTTTGTCACCTAGCTAATTGTTCTGGGACTGGCCCATCTGATTTCCTGCCTGCCTACCCACACTATGATTTCTGGTGCTGCTACTAGACCGGGGGGCCCATAGTGGGCCATTTGAGCTATTCTTTGATCTGTAAGAGAAAGGAGAGAAAATTAAAAAGGATGCAACCTCAATAATATACAGCTGGCAGTAAAATTTGCTGCTCGGGGAGACAGGGTGCTAGTGGATCGATGGGCTTTTAACTGATTTTGCAGGGGCCCAAGGCTATAGCCTAAGATAACCTATTCATTAATCCATCCCTAGCCCCCAGCTGTGCAGACCCATACTACTCTCCACATTTGGCACTTAAAAAACCTAGAGATGTGCCATACTTAAAAACTGTGTCCTTGCATGTGGCAGCCGATTCTTGGCGTAGCCAGTATGAAAAGCAGTTTTATTCAGTGAGCTATCAGATGTCCACATTGCATGAGTTCTACTTGGTTTTGTCTAGTTTGCCTAATGTTTAAATTGAATCTTAATTTGTTCGCAAGTTAACTCACCATTATCTGCAATTCTCGACAAAAAAGTCCTTTCCTTTATTGTTATTAACAAAGGTCATTAGACCAAAATTGGCTTTTACTGGTTCATCAATAATCATCACTTTATTCATCATGGGGAAATTCTCTTTTTTCGCCTCCCTCAACTTGCTCTTTGCAACAACTTCAATTAACCATCCGTTCATCTTCCAATCACTTATCTTGGTCGGGGTCACAAAGGGGCATAGAGCTTATCACATGCCACACAAGCATGCAGCCTCAAAAGCAAAGGTTGGGATATACTCTGGACAGAATACCGGTTGGTTTCTTTAAAAAAAGATGCCTCAGTGATTCACATAGTCTAAATGAAAACATCACACAGAGGAACATTTCTTTATAGAATTAAAAGAATGCAGCAGATGTAAATGTTGGTTATGGTAACAGAAGACCCCCTGACAGGCGGGGAGCTGACCAAATGGTCTTCTGCAGTGATGGTTCCCCAGTAGCATATGGCTCAGATATGACCAAAAGTAACCCCATTCCTATGGTTTATTGCCCTTGGGAAAAAGAAAATTGTGACTTATTCAGCTGCCACTTGTGGGGGAAAAATAGAATAAAGTACTTGGCATCCTCATCTTTTTAATTTTTTCATAGCAAAATACAAAACATATCAAGGTATAAAAACAAAACTTGTCTATTTTACAAAAGTGGAACATTATCTCAGTGCCGTCTCATTCAGCATCCAAATACTTCCGCATACATCCAGACATTAACACGCAAATTCACCTCAAAGCGCCTCTTTTAGACAAGCAATCAAAAACAGTGTCAGTGATCAAAGGGATGTGAGCTCCTGTAGACACAACATTTTATTTGTGTGCAGGGAGAACTTGAGACTCAGCTTATATACACAAAGGTTAAAAGAAAACCGCAAGATGAGCGTGTCAGTGGAGCTTCCCGATCTTTTAAATCTAACCTTAAAAAAAAAAAAGCTATTTACAGCATCTGTAGCAACGTACACGAGTATAATCCTGAAATAAAAAGGTTAATCGTGTAGAGATAAAAATCAGATCAATATTTTGTATCGTAGAATTATATTTTCAACATGAACATACAAAAGCTGGGCCTTTTATTAACATGAAAAAAAAAAACCACACAACTAAGTAAAGGTTTTATATCAAACACCTGAAGTGGAGTAATTTTCACAAAATAAGATATATGTATCGGGGCGACCCCCTTCAAACACACCCACATCCCTACCACAGACTAACCCCTTCCCTTGTTTCCAAGGTGCAAGTCCCAGCATTATGCTTGCACTCTAGCCTTGAATTTATAAATAATTTACATATATAAAAAGCACTATAAGTATTTCTACACTACAACAGTACATCTTAAAACATGGGGGTTATTACAAAGACAGCTTTGACTGAAAACACTGAATCAACTTCTGTAATCATGATGGGTTCTTTTAAAGGCGCCTTTATTCCCTAAACCCCAGACCTCCAGGGGGCACTGCAGAAACACAGCATTAGTGTCAGCATCCCTGGCTGGAGGGGCTCTCTGTTGGCCTGACCTTGGGTGACAAAGCAGACCGATACGTGGCATTCCGACTCAGTCAAAGGTTGCTTAGCACCTTTGATATGGATTGTAAAAAATAAGCCATACAAGTTAAAAAAAGCAAAGAACCCGTTTATTGTTAGCCTATTGTTAGCTATTACAGGGTTTATGTCTTTAACCAACAAGTTAAGGGGATAGGGGTGTGGAAAGCTTAACCGTCACAGGTTCACCTATTTGAAACACATTTGATGCTGCAAGACTACCAATACAATTTATTACAATGGCAACATGCTTCTAAAAGGAGCAATAGCTACTCCTGATTTGTAAGCGTTGAAAGTTTACACTAATAAAGGACAACTGATACTATGCAAAAAATGATACTTCAGTAAAAATCACATTGTACAGATAAAATGCAGAACCCTGAAAACATCCCACCCTGAATCAATGCTGAGGTTCCTGACAAGTTAAAGCAAGGGACTTAAAATAACCAATATACACAAAAAAAAAAAAAAAAAGATGAAACCATAAAGCTGCAAAAGAACCCACAGGCACTTCTCCTAAGATGTGGAATGTCTTTCTGTTAAAAGCTGGGGGGGAAATGAAAACAAAAACAATAAATGTAGGTGTCCACAGAAAGTGTGGGGGGTGTCAGTGTGCCACAGTCCATTCTTCTGCTATTGGTCAGTAATATCCTGGATGATACTGCTGGCTCCAGGGCTTCTGGTTCCAGAACTAATGATGGAGAAGGAAAGAGGGGAAAACGGGATCAGAAATACTGATCGCAGAGCTGCTTTAGCATCATGCATGTAATCTGTGTCCTTAGGACTGAAGATCAGACGTCAAGAAAGCTGGATGGGTGTGACTCCCATAGAAGGACAAGTGCAAAGACTAATGAAATGTATTATATGAACGTACCCCCTGTTGCCAGCTCTGGTTGAAAGCCTGCGCCTTGTTCATACCAAAGTTGCCATCCTTGAAGCCACGGTTGTTCCCACCTCGGCCTCGGAATTTTGGCTGGGGTAGCAGAGTATTAACACATTAGTAACCAGCCACAGGCAGGTTACGAATCAATCAACAGAATCGCAGATCAGGCAATCAACCCTCACACGGAATTCTGAAGAGACTCACCTGGTTGAAGTTGCCTCTGTTGTTACCCCCTCCACGTGCCATGTTTCCCCTGCTCATAGCGCCGCCTCTGGGGGCCATGTTGCCCCTGTTCATGGTGCCTCCTCTGGGAGCCCCACCACGACTAGGGGGGCCACCGCCTCGGTTGAAGGCGCCGCGGTTCGCGAAGCCCCCTCTGAAAGCTGGTGGTGGCAGGAAACCTCGAGGAGGCCTGACGAATCCCCCCCTGGGTCCGGGCACTGTAGAGACAGACAGGCTCTGGTGTCTGATTCTCACCACGTCCCTTCCACTGTCTAATCAAAGGCCCACAAAGCATGCTTCAAGTCATGGAGCCACAAGTGAAGGCGGCACACTGACTTCAGCGGCTATACTCGGCCTTACCTCCCCTGAAGTTGCCTCTGTTCTGGAAGCCGCCCCTGCCTCCCCTCTGGCCTGGTCCCCCGCCACGGTTGAATGGATTCTTGGCACCTCGGCCCCGGTTGCCCCCTTTCTTGGAGGAGGGACCCCCTTGGTTAGGCTTCTTCTCAGGAGGCAGAGCGCTCTTGCTCTCCTCCTTGTACTGCTCTAGCAGCTTGGTGGCTTCCTCCTTCTGCAGCTCCACGTAAGTGACTTCCGAGAAACAGTCGCCCTCCTCCGGCAGGGTGAAGATACCTGCAACGTCATGACGTGTTCAAATTCCACTGCAAACAGTAAAGAACAGACAGACCGACCCAAGGCCTGCTGTCAAAAAAAAGAAGTCCACACCTTTCATTTTGAGAACGGCGTGTTCTGGGACGTCTTTGCCATCTGACTCGGCCTTCTTCTGTGTCCTCTGCTTGTAGTCCTCATCTGTGGGGCAGACTACAACAGCTTTGCGCTGGAAGCCTGCGAAGAGGCACATTTTCCTCCTCTGGGCTGGAGCCGACACGTTGGTCTGACGAGAGACAGCGCACAGAAATACTTGCACGTTTCCCCACAACAAGAGATTAATAAAGAAATAGAGGAATTAAGGTCCCCCCCTCACCTGGTCCAGGATGTAGTTCCTTTTCTTGCGAGCTGCAATCTCGATGAACTTGCCCAGGAAGAGAGGAGCACGCTGGGAGATGGCGGTCAGCTTGGTGGTGTCCTTCATCTGTCGCTTCAAGCTAGAGATCTGCACATTACACAAACACCCACATGTATTAACATTTACATAGGCAGGCAGAACAGCCCAGAACACACACATGAAAAACAAACATTTAGGTAGCAAAACCATTTTCGTACACTGGCAGAACACATATACCCATCAGTAAAACAAAGGAGCAGGACATAAAAACATGAACTAACCATCATCTTCTCCAAGATAGTGTTGGTGCCCAGGACATTGTATTTCCCAGGGTTCTCCTCGATATGCTTCTTGACCCAAGCAGTCTTGCCAGCCCCAGGAAGGCCAACCATAACAATCACCTGTACAGAGATGGACCACAATGAACACTGGCGGGAGGCAGAGTGGATGTTACAGTAATGGCATGTGAGAAAGCCCAGCAGGGCCACGCCGTACCTCACAGTCAGTCTTGTTTTCCGGACCCTTGGGCCCCCGGACTCTGTCCTCCACGGAGACCTTCTGCAAGAAGGTGAAGCCCTCCAGCGGGGGGAAGAAAGGTGTTTCCCGCTGGCCGAAGTTGAATTCCACAGCGCAGTTGTGACACAGAATGTGGGGGTAGAGGGGACGCCCCGCCAGCTCGTCCTTGTTGACCTTGAAGGCCACGCCCAGGTCCCGGCCGTTCTTGGAAAAGGACAGCTCGACTTCGCTCCCCTCGAAGTTCTGAGACACAAAGAGGTGTCAGCACCTCCGTACACGGGCACTAGGTAAAAACGCAACTTTATATGCTGCATTCCATATGAACTGGGAAGTTGGAATTTCCAAGCTTTCGGTCCAAAATTTCAAATGGAACACCCCCTGAAGTCGAAATTGCGATTCGGAAAGTCATGGAAACCTCAAGATGGCTGTGCCCTTCAGGGAAAGCTGGGGTTATTTGCCGTTTATTAGAATTTACATCTTATCTGTGACTCATTAAATCTGTCACACACATGGTACTGTCCAACCGCTATCTGTGGGCCAAGGTGTTTGCATGCACAAAATACTGCAAAATGTGTCAACTAGTATTGCTAACAACGGCTAGAACTGGGGCCTGTTTCAGAAAGCAGGGTTTCTTGCTTAGCTGGATAATTTGCCAAGGGTGCTTTTCCACTGCACCAAATACCATACTTTCCCTTTTCCACTGACTTTGGTCAAGTACCAGTTCCAAAAGTACCAGTACGGAAAGTGTCAAACCAGTTGGGGTACTTCTTTGGTACGTTGAGGCGGGACTTGAAATGCTGTCTGTTTATAGGCTATTTGCATAACCACCCTCTAAACACAATACAAATGCCACCTTGAAAACAGTTGTGAACTCAAAAAATAATAAACCAAGCTTTAAAAAAAATGCAATTCGGTTATAAGAACGAACACAACAAAAAGATCCAGGTGGCATGACAAATTAAAAAGTATCTTGTTCAATATACTAGGACAGCAGGCACAGTGTGCTGCCCTAACGATGTGATTGTGTTTCAATAAATATTGGGGTATTTCTAAAACAAAAATGGAGTTCATGAATTTCTCACAAACCTGTCAGTGATTTAAACGGCAAGGATAAAAATGATCGTTTCAGGCAATGCATGCAGCGCTCATGCAAAAGCAGTGAAGGTAAAACTTTTTAAACATATAAACATATAACCTATAAAAGGAATAATAATTAAAATTGCAAATTAAAAATTTTTCCTATGACTGAGTAACAGGGTACAAATACTTCAGAGAAACTTTAACCCCCACGCTATAGTGTCCGTACCGAATTGAAAGTAAGAAAAATAGCTGACCAGCAATGTTAGTATCGCATTTGCATAACATGCAATGTCGGTATTAATATTGCACACCACCAAGCCATTTTTCGAATTCAGTACAAAATACCCACCAAGTTGCGATATCATGCAACCAACACCTTTAAGTACTGTACTCTATTGGTACTCTCTCAAAGTACCAAAAGTACAGTACCTGGAGTGGTGGAAAAATGCCTTAAATGGGTTTCCGGCGTCTTGTACTGGCACGTATTAACTCGGGGGTGACGTTATTCCCAGTTCCAACTTCAGAGGTAAATGGAACGCAGCATATAACGCAATAAAATCTCTGCATTAAAACTGAACACCTACAGCAAAGCAGCCAATGACGTCGTTCTCATCATAATTCTCTCCATAATCTTCTGTCACGCAGTTAGCGGTTTTCTTGGCCTTAACGGAGAAGGCATAGGAATGCTCTTCCTCCCCTGTAACAGAAAATAGGGTCACTTTATCCTTCCCTGTGGTGAAAATTGTTCCTGTGCTTTCCATGAAACAAAAAAAATCTGGGGGGGGGGGGGTCACAGTTCAGGGTTGGCCAGTGTCCAGTGACCCTGGAACAGCAGTGGTTAAGGGCCTTGCTTTCGGCCGGAAATTAGATTTAAACCAGTAATCTTCTCATCACAAGTCCTTACCCGCAGAGCCAAACACCACCTACAAATGAGGATTAGACCAGATGCACAAGCAGGATGAGTGGCAGACTTTGGTGATGCAGACACTCACCCAACAGCAAGCTCCCACTGGCCAAAGACCAGCCCACTTGGACCTCGTGGATCTCAATGCCTTTGCTGGACACGTGTTTCACAGGGATCTTCTCAGTTATCTGTTAAAGATCCCAAGAACAGACTAAATGTGAGCTGGAAATACCAGTCTGGGACTCTATGACCATGCTTAATGAAAACAAGACCGGCCCCTCACCTTCATTTCAAAGCAGGCTTTGCCCTTAGCCACTCCGTACGTAGCCCTGCCCCCAGCCCACAGGTAAGCGAAGCTTTCCATAGTGAGAGAAGAGGCGCTGTATCGGTCCCGAGACACTTTGAAGTGCAAATCGCTGTTGTCTGTTCAAAACAAAGGCCGTCTACGGCTTCAAACTGGACACCTCAAAGTCTCAACACTCATCTGTCTTATGGATGAATAAATCACAATTTTATATTATGAGATTTTGGTGGATTCTGGTGCAATGACAGCATAAACATTAATAATTCCATGCTGTCTAATCTCAAAAAACATACTTACTCCATGTGGGGAAAAAAAGCACAAATACTCACAAGTGTCAAGACAGACAGTGGTGTCATCGAATTCCTCGTCTTCCTCCTCCAAGGGGGGCTGTGGAGACTTAGCCCTACAAGAGGACACATGGTCAGTAAAATTAACCTCTCAAGGAAAGAATTGGCGGATGTGGGCCTCTAGGGAGCAGTTGCCGGATGAGGGGCGCAAAATGTATGCAAGGAGATTCAATTCCTCACTGAGAGGGAGCTGAACACTGAAATGCATCTCAGCGGAGTTTAAGCCACTACACAGTAAACACTGCAAGTCTGACACACCCGCCTGCAGTCAAAAATAGATCTCAGCTGCCACAAGTATAATAATTAAACTGTTATTAGCACAGCACTCAATCAAAATCCACAAAAAAAACACTACAGTGACCATCACAGCATCTAAAAGTAATCTGTAAAAGAAATGAGCCCTAAAGGAAAACAGACCAGACACTGGCTGTTGTCAATACAAAAAACAACTATGTGCTATGGACTGTATGAAAAATCCCTTTGCCAAATAACCAATACTGCTGTTCATCACAGCCAAACTAAGCTATGTCCTAGACAAAAAAATTTCAGTAACAGATCTACAGACAGGTTTACACAAGTTCGTGTGATCCTGTGGGTTCTGTTAACCACGGGAGAAACTTCGCGGAAGGCAGCAAAACCAGTGAGCGTGCAGAAGGAAACTTTGCTTTTGGCAACACCACCAATAACCTCTTACCTTAATCAACCAGCACATCTGAGACGAAAAGGCCGCCAAACACTGTTTACTTTTTGAATGGAAGTCTTACGGTTTCTTTTCTTAGTGCACGCTTTAATCCAAAGCAACATAAAGTTGAGCACAGGCCGGGACAGTCCCAGGAGCAATCGCGGGGTTAACAGCCCTAGCCCTGCCCAATGGTCCAACAGTAAAAGCACTCTGCCAACCCTGGGATTTGAACTAGTGACCACCTCGGCACAGACACAGTGTTCTAACCTGCCAAGCCATATTATGAACTTGAAAAGGGAGCACTGTATTCCATGAAGGGCCATTGATAAAAGTTACAGCCTTAAATGAATTACAGACAGAAAATTAAGATTGAAAGCTTTTTGTTAAACATAAATGCAAGGTCACTTACGCAGCCTGATTTTTAAAAAAGCCGGCCCACAGAACATCCTTAATATATAAAATATTATCTTGACCTCATTTAGAAAATGCATGCTTTCAAGAAAGTCAGTCTAGATCAATACAGACATTAGTAGGTCCCCAAGCTGAATGAATCCAGAACCAGGATGAAATATATGGTCCTTCGAGAAGCTAAATGACCCATTTAGCAGCCAGGCTGTATAGAACTAAAGAAGGTGAGACACACAAATTTGAAATTAAATACATCACAAAAACCAACCTGTCCAGAATGAAGGGAAAGGAAAGCAGTAAAAGAAAGAAACGCAAGCAAAAATAAAAAAAAAAGTCCATAAAAGGGAAAAAGGCACATTTATACCAGCAGTAATCATCTCATCGATCAAAAGGGAAGGATAATCCCGATGACGTCACCTGCACAGTGGCGTGTCTCCGCCCCCCAGAATAAGCGCATTCGGGATATGGAGATGAGCACATAGATACTCGATCCGAGGAACCGACTGCGCATGCGCCCTGACTCCCACACCGCACGCCTTTCACCGTACGGCCACCATCCCCCCAGTTCCGCACAGCTGCTCCCCTCCTTTGTCACTCTGCGAGAGGGAAACCTCACACCGCGTCCGCTGAATTGCACACCGCAGCGTCTCACTTCCTAAGGGTGCCCCCCCCCCCGCCACATCTACAAACGTCCCAATATTACTCGATGAATATACCATTATATTTAATAATTACATATATGGTACATAGTGAAAGCAAATGTCTCCTTAGCCAGTTTTCCTCCTGCGTTGTCCTGCATCAAGGATCGCAGACAACACACGGAGGTCATCGTCACTTAATAGATAAGTACAGTAAATGTAGGATGTAAGCATTGGCGTTTAATGCCAATACAATATTTCAAAAAAAACGTCGTGTGGCACTTCAGGCATACCGAAGGCCAAACTGTACCATCCTTACCGGCTGTATTTGCTTTCTTCAATAAATTCAAAGTAGCCCCTTCCATGTTCCTCCCGACGTCTCTTAACACCCTTCTTATTCTTCTGTTCAGCATTCTTGTCTTTGTCGGCATCCCCTTTGAAAATAAAACAGTACAGAGAAATGAAGCGTGCCTCCGTGCTGGACCGAGTGGTTACGGTCGACCCACACGAAGGTTTGGTCTTTCTTGGACGGACCAAAAGTCAAAGATGCACCCCTGATCTTCGAACGGAAAAGTGCGAACTGGGTTCACATGCCGGTTAAGGTCGGGTTTTAAAGCTCCTTACATTCTGCTTGGGAGCGCAAACATGTGCGCTGAGGAAACACGCATTTCACACAGAGAACGGATGAATGAATGGATGCAACGATCACCGCGCTGACAGGCAGCCGAGTAAAAACATTTTTATCCTTCAAAAACCCTCACGATCGCCATTTGAATGTGTGCATGTGCGAAAGAGCCGGGAAACAAGGCTTAAAGAATCGGGGATTTTGCAAGATCTACCCGCGCAACCTCGGCTATGGGACGCCGAGCCATTGTCTAGGCGCCATGGGAGAGCAGCTGGCCGGCCAAGGCCGAAGATCCGATCCGCAAAACCGACATAAAACCGAAAGATAAAACAGAACGTATGCAACATCATAAACCACCTATAAAACAGCAGCACGTTAACCGAAAAATAAAAACTACCGATTGATGTTCAAAGATCCAACGAATCAGCGGGAGACGCGGGTCGAAACAAAATGTCAGAATCTGTCCTTCCTCAACAATGGAGCCGGATCCGTCCTCCTCTCGCTCCACAGCCTCCATGTGCATCTTTGTCTGTAAAATCGACTCAACACGTCAAACGTCTGCAGATGGCCGGGGGGGGAAGAGCCTTTGCATCATAACGTTACTGAACTGGAAAACGCTTAAAATCCATATTAAAACAATATAGCAATCAAGCGATCAGACTACGGCAAAGGACAGATGTCGCCAAAAAGCCGCACAGGTCTCTCAATATCCGCTTTCTACACACAGACCTCACTGTGATACCACACAACGATTTTACATTCATCTTTAAAATGGAGACTAACCTTCGGCCGGCTGGGACTCGGCAAGACCATCGTCGTCGTCCAGCTTGTCCATGTCCTCGTCGTCTTCCTTGAGCAGGGCATCCTCGTCTTCGTTCAGTTTGTCCATCTCTTCCCCGATGTCCTCATCCTCGTCACCCATCTCGTCGTCCTGCTGCTCGGCGGCGTCTCCGCAGCCTCCCTCCACGTTGTCATCGGCCTCCGCTTCGCCCCCGTCTCCTTCCTCCTCCAACGCATCGGCCTCCATGCTCTCCCCGGCTACGTCTTCCTCCAACTCCTCGGCCATCTCGTCGACGGGAGCTGCGCTGTCGTCGTATCCAGCCTCGGCGCCATTCTCGTCAGCCCCGGGCCCGGGGAAATCGCCCCCGGCTTTGGCCTCTTCGTCGAGCGCGGCCTGCAGCCGGTCCATCAGCTCGGCCTTCAGCCCCTTGTCGGAAAGCTGCCGTTTTTTGAGCTCGTCCTTCAGCTCATTTACTTTCAGCTTTTTTACATTGATCGAACTCATTGTGCGATTATATTCCTGCCTATGAATCCCAGCAAAGAAACTCCGATCTATAAAAAGGCGAGATATAACACACCTTCTTAAAAACCAGAAAACAAACCTCGCTCGTGGAAGATAGGATTGAAAGAAAGCAGAGACAGCCGCCCACGATTCGTACTGCGCCAAACAGCACCCTCCCCCCGTCGCTTCCAGACTGCAACAGGGCGCTCGCCGCTTTCCAGCCTCACGTAAACGCAGCCCTATATCCGTACCGTAATCCTGCGAAAGGAGGGGTGGAAAATGGGACCTCAGCTACCGTAATACGGCTGTGATAAGCTCACTATAAAATTCATTTCACACCTTCCTATAGTGGCTTCGCGTCTTGTTTGATGTCATTTCTGTGAGGTAGGGAAGAAATATGACGAATAATCTAAGTCTCAGTAAGACAAAAGTATCCATACTTCTATGTAATTATATCATCGACTTAAAAATATTACCTGTGTACAAAGCACTAAATGGTCTCGGACCTAAATGCATTTCTGATTTACTTGAACATTATGAAGCATCCAGACCCGAGGTCATCTTGGAAAGGTTTACTCAGTGTTCCCAGAATCAAGACCAAGCAAGGTGAAGCCGTGTTCAGTTTCTCTGCTTCCCATCTGTGGAACAAGCTTCCTGAAGACCTGAGGTCTGCTAAATTTGTTGGACATTTAAATCAGGGCTTAAAACATTGTTTGCCGCAGCTTTTCAATAAATTAAATCAGTGTAGTCATACACTGTCACTACAATATAACTTCTTTTCAGTTAACTATTTGTTTGTTTTGCTATTATTATTATTATTATTATTATTATTATTATTTTGTCTTTTAAACATGATGTTTACGTTAATGTGTTTTATTGAAATGTATTATTTTGCCTTTGTAAAGCACTTTGAATTGCCTTGTGTCTGTATTGTGCTGTATAAGTAAACTTGCCTTGCCTTGCAAATTGTAAAATGTATTTGTAAACAATTCATTTACGAATGAAATGTCTGGTAGGTAAAATAACACACAGGGATTGGACAATGAACCTGAAACACCTGTTTGACGTTTTACGCCTGTATATGTGCGGCCTGGTGGCCATTTCTCACTCCATCAGTGAGAGCATATTGTGAAGGTTCAATTAGCAGAGCATTAGCACAGCTGTACATAAAATACTGCAATCCACACAACATAATGGGAGACATATCAGAGTTCAAAATGGGACAAATTGTTGGTGTGCATCTTGCTGGCGCATCTGTGACCAGGACAGTCAGTCTTTTTTGTGTATCCAGAACCACGGTATCCAGGGTAATGTTGGTATCACCACGAAGGACAGACCACATGCAACAGGAGTAACTGTGGACGAAAGGAGGAAGGTATCTGATCAGGATGCCTGGGTATTAACCTGGATTGTATCCAAAATCAAAACTAGAGCAGTTGAACTCACTGCAGAATTAAATGCGTAACTTAACTCTACTGTTCATCAGGAGCCCCACAGGGTCAATATTCATGGTCGGGCTGCTATAGCCAAACCTTTGGTCACTTGTGGCAATGCCAAACGTAGGTGCCGACAGCAAGAATCTTGGGCTGTGGACAATGTGAAATATTTATTGTTTTCCGATATGTCCAACGTCACTGTCTTTCCAACATTTGGGAGAGTTACGGTTTGGAGAAGCCCCCAGAGGCTTACTACCCAGACAGTTAGGTACCCAGAACGCAGCATGGGGGTAGATCAGTGATGGTTTGGGATGCAGTATCATGGCATTCCCTGGACCACTACTTGTTCTAGATGGGTATGTCACTGTCAAGGACCATGTTGACCCAATGATTTAAAACATTGTACCCTGACGATGGTGCCGTGTATCAGGATGATAATGCACCAATACACACAGCAAGACTGGTGACAGAATGGTTTTATGAATATGAATGTTGAACATCTCTCATTGCCTGCATACTCAATAGATCTGAATATTATTGAGCAACTTTATGGTGTTTTGGAGGAGTGAGTCAGGAAATATTTTCCTTCAGCAGCATCACATAGTGACCTAGCCAATGTTCTGCAAGAGGAATCGTTCAAAATCCCTCTGGCCACTGTGCAGAACTTGTATCTGTCATTCCCATGACAAACTGATGCTATATTGGCTGCAAAAGGAGGAAATAGATCATTATTGTGGCCTAAAATCAGGTGTTTGAGTTTCATTCTCCAACCCTTGTACATCTTATGTTCAGATTAAGGCGTTTAAGGCTTTTACTTTGTCCCCCGCAATGCAATAAAAACCTGTTTTTTGACATTGTGGAGACCATTTTTCAGGTCCCCGCAAAGATCTGTAAATACAATCAAAAAAGTAAAAATGTCAAAAGTGTTATATTTTGTTTGGTGATCATTGTTGACATACAACAATGAAATGTGTCCTCTGCATTTAACCCGGATGTGACATAGCAGGGGGTAGGTAATTCAGTGCCTAGGGAGCAGTACCCTACTGATTAGGGATTCAAACCAGCAATCTTTCAATTACAAGTGCACTTCCCTAATCATTAGGCCACCACTTGCCTGCTTGTGGTTACTTATGGTGAAGGTGAGGGCTGGGTAGGGGTTAAGGTGACGATTAGTGTTTCCCTCATATAAATGAATGGAGAGTCCCCACAAAGATATAATTACGAACCTGTGTGTGTATGTGTGCTCGTGTGCCCTGTGAAGGGTTGGTGCCCCTCAGAGTTATTCCCTGCCTGGTGCCCGTGACTTCCTAGATCGGATCTGGACCCCTGCAACCCTAAGTAAAATAAGCAGTATACAAAATTGATTAAAACATAGTTCCACTGATAATCCATGTAGTTTACTAGTGGCTAACTAGCAAAGAAATATTTTGATGCAATGATTAGTGAAGGAGAAAATACACAATCCTGTTATTTGTTTTATTTTTTTTTATCATATTAATGTGGTTGCTCATTGCCAATTAGGTTTGTAACCAATAAAGTTTTGCATTCAAACCCAAGAAGACAAACAAATAAGTACCTTTTAAACACACCTTTTATTTGTTTAGAATGTGCTGTTAAGCAGTTAAGAAATGGCAATTAAGATATTGTAAATCAAATAATTTTACATTTTCCATGCTATGAGGAATTTCACTGTTTGCTGCAATATAAAATCATTTTGATTTTGCATTAAGTATTCATCAATTAAATATTAACCCAGTAGAGACTTGACAATCAGCAACACTGCAAAAAAGGGTGAAGGCCATTAAGATTTCATGCCTTGATTTCCATCCATCCATCCAGCTCCTTCCACTGGTCAGGATCATGGGTGATGGGGGGTGGGGACCTATAGCCTATCCCAGGCAGCACAAGGCACAAAGCTGGGGTGGACCTTGGATATGAAACCAGTCCATCACATATGGACATAAACATACACACAAAATCACACATTCGTCATTTGAGACACCATGCTACAATTTGACACCCATAAATTTATATGTTTTCCTTGAGAGATTAATTTTGCGCACTGATAATTCATCATAACATCTTTGCACCAGTAAATATTATTCATTAATATATGTCAGTAGGGGCCCTATGCCTTTATTATTGTCTTGACTTGCGGGGATGGAGCGGGAACAGAGGAGCAGAAGTCCAGGGAGTCGGGGAAATGGGGGCTTTATTTTGGGAGAATACATCCACAAACAAAGATTAAACAGAGGACTTAGGTCAATG